ATCAAACATGTTACTGTGTTTGTTTGCATCTGTATGCTGGCTATCTAATCTACTGTACTGATTTTTTAAAAACAGTTCAAAATTGTTTTAATGATAATTGCTTTGTAGCACAGTCTGAGATCTGATTCTGAGACCTTGTTTCCCATGCTTTTTTCATTATTACCCATTAGATTCTCCATATATGTTATTTTTGTTCCAACTCTACAAAACATTCTTTTGGGAGTCTGACTTGTGCAGTATTGAATAAGTTATTTAATTTACATGGTATTGTCATCTTCATTATTTTAGCTTAACTTACCCATGAGTAATTAATGTTTCCCCAATTATTTAAGTCTGTCTTTATTTTTACAAAGAGACTATGAATCTTGGAAGAAAGTATATGACTTTTGTAGTTATGCTGAATAGAATTTTTCTTTCTAGTTAATCTGGATAGGTTTTGTTGGCTATAAACAGAAATGCTGAAGACTTCAGTGATGTATCCTTACATCCTGCACTTTCCTGAAGGTATTATTTTAATTTTTAGTGGACTCCCTAAGGTTTTCTATGTATGAAATTAATATTAAATCATCAGCAAAAAGTGGTAATTTTATTTCTTTTTTGCTTGTACTTAATACCTACCTAGTATTTATATAGCACTTTTAACATGTTCTCTCATTTGATATAATAATCCTTCCTGTGAGGCAGATGCTACTATTATCCTTATATTAGAGATAACACAAATAAGGCTTAGAGAGATTCAGTCACTTGCCCAGCATCACACAGTTCCTAAGTGTCTGAGAAATTCAAACTTCTACTCACTGCATAACCTAGCTGCCTCCAATTCCTCCCATTTTTCTTTTCTGCATTATGTTAAGTAGTAGTACAGCTTTGCTTCACCTCTGATTTTACTGAAAGGGCCTCTAATTTTTCTCCATTAAATATAATGTTTGTTCTTAGATTTAAACACTATTTACTATCTTACAGGAAGGTCCATTTGTTCCTCTGATTCTTAGTGTTTTGTCTTTAATACAAATGGTTTTTAGATTTGGTCAAAGGTTTTTCAGCAGCCACTAATATAATCATATGGTCTGTATTATTTATTTTATTAACATCATTTATCATGTTTGTAGTCTTCCTTATGTTGAACTACCTTTGCATTTCTAGTATAAACCCAACTTGTCCATACTATATAATCTTTCTAATATGTTGTTTCAGCCTACCTTAAAATACTTGATTCAAAAGTTGTACATCAACAGGCATTAAAGATATTGATCTCTAGTCTTCTTTGTTTTGTCTCACCCTGGCTTTTAGCTATCAAGAACATTTGTAACAGAGAAAGATTAGATGGGTTCCTTCTTATTATTTCAAATAGTTTATGCTGAACTAATTGTTCTTTCAATCTGTGACATGTTACTTCTGAATCCATCTGGTACAAGTTCTCCCCTTCCACATTGTTAGTTCATTTATGGGTTTTGTTCAATTTCTTTTTTTCTGATATAGGGTTATTTAAATGCCAAATCTCTTCTTTTTATAAAGAGTATTTTATAATTTTGTAAAAATTCATCCATTTTCTCTGTTATGAGTTTTGTTAGCATATAATTGAGCAACATAGTTTCTGATAATTTCCTTTATTTCCTCTTCAATTGTTTCAAGTTTTAAAATTTTTTATGAACACTTTTGTTTTTCCTTCTCTTTACAAACTAATAAATAGATAAAATCAGCTAATCTAATCAGAAGAAATGGGGATACATTAGAACTTGTTCCAATAAATAGAGGAATCAAGTAAGGATAACCACTGTCCCCACTATTATTTGATATAGCTCCAGAAATGCTAGTAGCAGGAATAAGACAAGAGAAAGAAATTAAGGCCATAAAAGGTAGGTAAAAGGAAGATCCCTATTCACTGATGATATAATGCTTTACTTGGAAAATCCTAGGCAATAAGCAAAGATACTTATTGAGATAACTGATGCCTTTAGCAAAACTGCAGACTCCAAAATAATCCTCAAAAGTTACCAGCATTTTTATATAACACTAACAGAAGAAGCAATAATAGAAAGGGAAGTTCCATTCCAAATAATTACAAAATGTGTGAAATATCTGGGAATCAACCTCCCAAAGCACACCAAAGGCTTGTATAGATTAAATTACAAAGTGCTCCTTAAAGAAATAAAGAGCAATTTAAATAGCTAGAGGAATATTCAGTGATCAGGGCTAGGCCTTACCAATATAATAAAAATTACAATACTACCAAAATTAGTTTATACTTTTAATGCTATCACCAAGACACATTATAGAACTTCACAAAATACTAAATTCATTTGGAAAAACAGGAAATGACAAAAGTAGGGAGGAAAGGGGAAAGCACTTTCAGACCTCAAACTATATTATAAAGCAGCAATCATCAAAATCACCTGGTATTGATTAGGAAAAACAATTTGGCAGAAATTAGGCTTAGACCAATAACCTACACCATATTCCACGATATATTCTATATGGACATGCAACCTAAATATCACATTTAAAAAAAATTACAAGAGAAACAGCATAGCTATGGATAGGAGTTGTGCTGTTAATGAGACAAGAGACAGAGGCAATTTTCCAAAGATAAAACATAACTTTTATTACTTGAAACTGAAAAACTTCTGCACAGACAGAATTAGCACACCTAGAATAAGAAGTATTTACAATCACATGAAAGAATCGCCAATAATGAATGCAAATCAAGATAACCTTGAGGTTCCCTCTTACTCTGAAAAATTGTCAAAAATGACAACAGTCAATGATGAAAGGGCTTTGGAAGAGTAGCCACATTAATTACATTGTTAGTGGAGCTGGGAAATGGTACCATTATTTTGGAAAGCAATTTGGAATTGTGCAAATAAAGTGAGTAAAATGACCATACTCCTTGTACAGACTCCATTACTGGGCTAAAAACCCAAGGAAGCCACCTATAAGAAGAAAGTCCCCATTTACACTAAAATATTTAGAAATAATGCTTTTTGTAACAGTTAAGAATTGAAAACAAAGTAGATGCCCATCAACTGGGGAATGCCTAAACAAATTTGTGTTCCACGTACATAATGGAATATAACTGTGATATAGGAAATGATGTATGTGGACAGTTAGGTGGCACCAGTGGATAGAGCTCCGGCCTTGGAGTCAGGAGGACCTGAGTTCAAATGCGGCCTTAGACACTTGACATTTACTAGCTGTGTGACCCTGCACAAGTCACTTAAACCAGACCGCCTCACCAAAAAGCAAAAACAAAACAAAAAGAAATGATGGAAAGATCTATGGGAACTGATGCAAACTGAACTAAGTAGAGCCAAGAAAACAATATGCGCAGTAACTACAACAGTGTCAATGGAAAAAACAATGACACACCAAAAAAACCCCCAAAAGTAAATGTAACAAAATTATAATTCTCAAGCAGGACTCAAATAAAGAAATATGAGAGAATATCCCCAACCCACCCCTTTGTGGAGGAGGGAGGTCAACAGGTATTACACATTGCACGTGGTTTTGGACTTTTTTCAATGCATTGATCAGTTGTGCTGATTTTTTTCCTCTCTAAAAAATACTATTTGTTTTGTGGGATGACTTTCTAGGAAGAGGTGACAGAGGGAGATGGATACTTGGAATACCTGATGATGAAAGAAACTGAAAATATCAATAAAAACTTATTATAAAAAAAGAAAACACAACCCAGAAAGTAGGACACTTTTGCTGTGTCTCCTTTTAATTACTAAAATTCTGCCACCATGATCCTGTTTTGCTTCAATTCTTTCTTCAGAAAAAATATTTGGGAAAATATACATTTACAGAAATACATCTATATCACTTCATATAGGCCCTTCCATGTTTTGTTTATGCTTCAAATTAAGACTTTAAATTATGTTAATGTATAAATTTAGTTAAGCATTATTCAATATTTTGCTATTACATCTTAGTGGTTTGTCTTTCAACAACAAAAAGAGTTATTTTATGACATTTTTGACACAATGTTAACAATAAAATTGTTGGGTCAAAAGGCATGATCAGTCTGGGGATCCTTTATTACATATTTCCATATTCTTTATAACATTTATACCAGTCAAAGTCCACCAATGCCTGCTTTGCCAAAGCCCCAAGAATATGAAACTGTAATTTTAAAAAAGTATTTCCATTATAGTAGAAATAAAAATGTGGTGTTTCTTACAGTTGTCTTGATTTTACTTCTGTGATTATCATGGAACTTGAGCACTGTTTCATATAGTTAACAGTTCATATTTCCTTCTTTGGTCCTGTCTTTTGATCATTGCTGCACTGGGAGTGATTTTATAATTATGTGCCTGTTCCTCATGGATTCTGGATGTTGGACCTATGATTTCATTGTGATAGGGAACTTCTTCTGATCAAGAAACTTTCTTTATTAATGCAGAACAGCAACTATTCTACAATTATAGAATTCTACAGAGCTGCCCAGTGCATGAAGAGGGTAGGTCATTTGCCAGGGTCATACAGCCAATATTCACTCCAAGTCCAATCTCTATTCCCAAGCCACACTGATTTTACCCAATGAATTTACTGAAAGTTTTCTTTCCAATGTCTCTTTTCCTTTCATTTAGACACAATGTTTTTGTTGTACAATTTTATCTCCAATGAGTTCTTCCTTTTAGTTTGATAAAAAAAGAATCCCTCTTTTCTATAGTCGAAGTATTTCTTTTTATATACAATACTTTTTTTCCTTCAAATTTAGATCATTGCTCTGATTAAGAGTTTATTATGGTGTGTATCTAAACCCCTTTTCTGGGTGTATATCCAGTTTTCTCAGATTTTATTGAGTAGCATTTGAAGGCTGAGACTATTTCACTTTAGCCTTTGTATTTTAATGCTTTGCACACAACAGGTACTAAATAAATATTTGTCAAACTGAATGAATTCCATTCCTTAGTGAGTTTGTCAAACATTTATTTAATAATCATTGGGTTCTTGATTCTCTTCCCTTGATCTATTTCTCTATTCTTTTCCCCTTACAGTTTTTGAATCTCTGGATACTATACTATAATCTCCAAAGAACTGAAGTTGAATATCACCCAAAGGGCAATTGGAGGAACACATGATGTGTACCAACAGCTACAACACATAACACATGAAATTACATAAGAAAATGTGCCCAGAAAGAAAAAAAAAGAGCTAGTTATATAGTGAGAAAAAGAGAAAACCAATTGAAGGCCCCAGGTTCCATCATTATCCACAAAAAATCAAGAGAATTTGAAATGGGTTGTAATCAGCATTAATGGAGAAAAAAAACAACAAAAACACAAATCTCCTTGAAAGTTCCTGATAGTCTTAAAATTTGTATGGAAAAATGAATGGATATAAATTTATATAATTCTATGAAATAACTGATTTGCATGGCATTAAATATCAAAGTTAGTTTGGGAAGGAATTACCATTTTTACCATATTTGTCTGACCTAACCATAAGCAGAAAATGTTCTTACATGACTTCTGTCAAAATAATTTTGAAGCTGCCTCCTCTATGTCTCTCTAAGTTAACACCCTGATATTTAATATACTCTTATCATCATAAAGTATATTTCTCTATCATTTTGCTTATGATGAAACTGAGGTTTAGGAAAGTTAATCTGCAAGTCTTCAAGTGGCCTCAGGCAAAGTGACACAAATGAGGTTAGAACCTAGGTTATCTTATTCCTACTCAACACACTTTTTGTAGTTGCATTAGTATATGTATTGTGATAACTACATATCCTTTCAAGCTGAAATTAAGTTGCTCTAATAAATATGAAGTGAAAAAAGCTTTTTAAATCAATATAGAATTTTCTTTATTTTCAACATTTAAGTTCAGATCCTAGCAATTATATATTTATAATAATGATAAACTATGAGATAGTTGGGACACCTCTAACAAGGCATACAAATTATATGGATATACTCAAAAATAAACTACAAATATTTTGAAGAATTTAAGGGCCATGAATCAAGATGAAAAGCAGAAGAAAACTAAACAAGACATAAAATAATACCACCCCATAAAGTTATATTCTAATTTCAATTTTATTCTTACCTTCAGTAATTTAGTAGCAAGTTTCAAAACATTATTCACTAGTGTCAGTTCTTCCTTCTTATTAGGTTTCTTCTCCATTTTCAAGTACAGGTTTATCTAAGAAAATGGATTAATTAAAAACCACTTAATATAACAGTATTTTTCTTAAAAAAAGGCAAAATCGTGAATCAATTTTAAAATGAGTCTACTTTAGTCATAAAACATATAGTGGAAAAAATAAAGTTTTATTGGAAGCAAAGTCAATAAACTAGTTTGGGTTTTCTGTCAGAAATATGTTTTATAAATGTGGATACAAAATTCATCTTCAGTAACCCATCAAGAAAAAGGAGCCATTCTTTACGGTACAATATGGCAGAATGGGCACCAGCTCAGCAGTCGGAAGACCATGAATCTAGTACCTGCTATACCACATACTAGTCATATAACTTTGGGCAAAGTGTTTAATCACTCTGAGCTTTTGTTTCTTTACCTATAAAATGAAAATAAAATGCCTGTGCTACCTAATTCAGAGGGTTGTAGTAAGTATTAAATGAGATGATATATGCAAAAAGTATCTGATAAACTTTATAAAGTATCATTCACATACAGTAGATGTAACATTTAGATGAGTTTTTTAAGATAAAATTTTTCCTCAAATTTCAAGTTTTGTATCACTCATGAAAATTTGACAAAAATTTACAAGCGATGAATAGATATTAAATATAACCATTAAAAGTTATTAAGTTTTAATATAAGCAAATTACTGTTTAATAAAAATTCTTATTTGCTAAAATGTGTTTGTTCTGTTCTTCTACATAACATGTACGCCCTTATAATTTCTTTCTTTTTTTTTTTTTTTGGCTGAGGCAACTGGGGTTAAAAGACTTGCCCAGAGTCACACAGCTAGTAAGTGTTAGGTGTCTGAGGCCGGATCTGAACTCAGGTCCTCCTGACTCCAGGGTCAGTGCTCTATCCACTGCCCCACTTGGCTGCCCTACCCCTAAAATTTCTTAAAAACAAGAGTATGACATGTTTCCCTCTCTAAACAAATGGAAAGCTAAGAAAAAAGATATAGTCTAAATAGAATAAGCAATGGTGTGCTTTACTAAGCAATCAGAATGAAAGTTTTCCTATTCTTATAGCATTAAAGTTGCTCTGAAAATAAATACATAATCACTTCTATTATCTGCTCTTTGAAAAACCTGAAGTGACTAGTGAACTGTAGACACTAATTTATAACACATTAAATATGAAGTCTCACCTGTTCAGTAAGTAATATTGAGGTATTGCTATATTTTTTGCTTGTTTCAGACCCAAGGGTAACAAATCTTAGAAGAAAAAGTGTTAAAGAGATACACCAGATCACCAGTTCCCAGTTGTAGTGACAATCAAGGAAGATCTCATGCACATGAAGCAACTAAAATCCAAAGGCAAAGAAAACAGAGGAAGAATTAATTGTGATTCAAATTAATATCTTTTACTGTAAGGAAAATAATGAATTCTAGTTTAATAGGAATGAGACACTAGTTTCTTTGGCATCTATGTGAACTTTCATGCATAATCTCTGTATCTCTTTGCTAGTTATTAGTTTGTGGCAAATAAGTTTAACTAAGGATAGATTTGGAGTGATGGGACCTGGCTCTGCAACTTACTAGCTGTATGACTTTGAATAAGACAGTTCCCCTTTCTGGGCCTCAATTTCTTCTTCTGTATAAACATTACAAAATTGTGTACATTATACACACTTTTTTCAAACATGCTTGCTAAATTTAATCTATACTCATCAATTGTGGCATTTGTATACGAAACAAAGAATTTAAGATGGCTAATATAAAACATAGTGTTTATTACTAATTTATCTTCTCCAAAGTAGAAATTAGTACATGAAAACCTCATCAGAATGCTCTCTACTTTAGAATAAGGTCCTTTTGGACTAGGCTTAAAATAGTTTTTAGACTAAATTTTATTTCTCAGGCAAAATGTTGAACTGAAGTTTTAATGTATGTTAAAGAATATTTTTAGAAACACTAATTTTACCATATTCTCTCAACTTGCTATTTTAAAAAATGTTTTAAATATAAATTTTACCTCTGTACTTTCAAAAGAATTTAAATGAATGACAACTCCAGTGAACTTTACTACATCTTTCATTATATTGCGTGTCTATGAAAAAAAAATCACCATAATATAAAAAGGATATATTTCATTTACATACTTCTTTATTGCAAAATATGTGACCAGTGGTAGAAATAATATGGAGATACAGAAATGCATTTATGAACAGTAGATAAGGGGTGGCAGTTACAATATATTAAATACCAAATAAAATAATACTACATCTATCATAGAACAATCTATGCACCTTGAATTTAGAAAATGTAGCTGACCTTAGTATCAAGCAACACAACTTGTACAGGAAAGAATAGATCCTTCCTGGGTCAAAAAGCTGGGGGGAGGGAGGGAAGAGAGGTAAGAAGGGCCCACCAATACACTGATTCATGTTACCTAAAATACATAATGTAGACATGCTAGAATTTTTCATTTTTCCCTCATATTTACTACTTCACCTAAAAAATTTTTTGAAAGGGAATACACTGACTCTTTATTGCATATAGTTATTTATATGGAACAAAGTAACTCACCTGGGCACAGCAGATAAACACAACCGAAATAGTCAACAAGAATGCAGATGAAACTATAACATCAACTGATCTCTGAGGACCTCGACGCTGAAAGAAAGGAAAATGATATTTTAAAAATACATATACCCATTAACATTAGTTTTACATTGACTGTAGTTTACAGTGTTGCCCAAATGCCCCAATAAATACCAATAAATTACTTAATGGTATTATTTTTTAAGGATATGTAACAGCACAAAAAATGAAACTTATACAGTACAGGATTCTTAGCGTACCTTTTAAACTTTAATTGACATTGCTGAACAAAAGTTTCTGTTTTGATTATGCTGAGTAGAGTTATCAATCCTGAGTACTTCCAGAAGTAATACATTCTAACAACTAGCAACACAACCCAAAAACTTTTTACTGAAGGAAATGTGAATTTATAACCTAACATTGGCTTGGTGGGCATTAGAGGGGCTTAATGGGGAAGAATTTGCTGAAGCCTTGTCACATTTCTACAGCAGGCATAACACAAGGTGGAAACCACTTTGCAGCATGCAAAAGGAACGACTTCAATTTGTATGCATGCCCTCAACAAATTCAAAGGAATTTGAACGGTGAAGTATTAGAAAAAGAAGAGAGGGTAGCAAACTGCATAACTGTTGCTCACAGCCAGTGGCAGAAGGAAGTCTCCTCACCAGCAATTCCCTACATCAAAAAAAAAAAAAATTGCAGGTCCAGTAGAAAGAGACAGAGACAAGTACAAAGCTAATGTTTTTATGCTGTTTGCTGTGACCACAACACATAAAGCAAGAGAATTCTAGGTGTGTCTAAGGACCTCTACTTGCTGGATCAGCTTTATTAAGAAAAATGCTAGTCGTCTTTTAAGTAAAGTTTTCAAGGATATTTTAAACAAATATAAAGATAGAAACTAGACCTGTGATTCACTGGTATAGGAAACTCCTAGATAAGAAAACTTTCCTCTAATTCTTCTCCGAAACTTATAGACTTAGAGCTGCCTAGAGCAGAGGTGTGAAGCATGCAGCCTGAACCAGATTATGTAATTAGAAAATATTTAACAAAATAAATTAAAATAAAATGAAATAGAGATAATATTACATTTTAAAATTAAGTCAATAAGCAGGCCCCAGGGATATTGAGGTATGATTCAGTGGCTCCTGTTTCTCTTTGAGTGACAATGCTGGCCTTCATAGGTCTGAGAGGTTGTGATCTCCCCAGAGTCACAAAGCCAGTAAATGTTAGTGATGGGACTTAAATTTAGGTCTTCCTGACTTCCAGGACAGCTTTCTATCCACTATGCAATTTCTATGAAGTAGAAAATATGGCTCTTATTCTAAAAGTACAATACCTTTAGAATGCATACTCTGCTAGAGGTAATTCAAATACCTCTTACTTTTTTTCAGGAACTTGAGTAATTTTGGAAGAAAATTCTTAAAAGGGAGGAAAAGTGCACAAAAAAAGGATTTAGGCATGCCAACTGACATTCTAAGTTGCCTACTTACTTAAAATAGTGAGATTTTAAAATAGTGAGTTACTTAAAATAGTGAAATGATCTTGTAGTCACAGATTGCTTTTACTGAGCCCTTTTTAAGGAGTGGGCTCCCTCTGCTGGCTAATGATAGCTGTGCTATGAAAATAAAAAGATTTTCTCTTGTTGGGAACCTAAGCAATTCATAAACAAAAATAAAGGTCTTTAGGATCTTATTACCTGATGGACTGTGAGGTTCAAATAAGATTACATAAAGGAATTCAAAAAATTAAAACACCAAATAAACACACACACACACACACACACACACATAACACACATATATATATATAGAAAGAGAGAGAGGGAGAGGGAGAGAGAGTTATGCTTTTCAGCTAGGCTTGAAATTCTAAGTATTACAGGCAAAAAATAATCCATGAAACACATTTCTCTTAGCTATCTGGATACAGAATATACAGAGGATATTATGACTAGTGGCATGCTCACATAGCAAGGGTATGTGTGTATACCTGGATAGAGATGTATTAAGAGTATTAGAATCATAGATAGCCAGCTCGCAAAAGTCATGTCATCACAGCCATTATACCTTAAGATAGGAACGAAGAGATAGCCACATTTTTATATTCTGCACTTTCTTCAATCGGAAATGGGGAACTTCTGATTTTCGAGCCCTCCTAGCAGATGTTAAATGTCCAAAGAGTTTTGCAAAAAGTAGTCTCTACAAAACATCACCACGTTGTTTGTCAAGCAAAATACCACAGGGAAAAATAAGAATAGTCAAAATATAGGTTATTACTATCATCTCCTATGATTAAGTACTATAATTCAACAAGACAAGAAAATAATAACATCACCAAAACTATAGGGATATGCCTTCC